CAGAGTGAGTGAGAGATTGTCTGACCATTGCTTTGTTTGCCAGGTGCGGGCCATGGCTGCGGCTAAGCCAGGTTGGAGCCCAGCAGCCAGGAGCCGTCTTGGTCGCCCACAAGGATTGTGAGGGCTGCAGCTCTTGGGCTATTGTCGGCTGCTTTTCCAGTTGAATTAGCAGGGAACTGGATGGAGAGCAGAGCAGCTGGGACTGTAACAGGTGTCCCAATAGGGGATGCTGAATTTCACAGTTGGTGGTTCCATGAAGGTGAAGGAGGCAGAGCAGTAAGAAATGTATTTTCTTAAATGTTTATATATATAAATAAATAATATAATAAAGAATATATAAATAAAAAATATATTTTACATAAATAAAATATTTTATAAATAAAATAATATATAAATAAATAAATAAATATATATATATATATATAATTTTTTGTTGGAAAGGCAGATCTACAGAGAGAAGCATAGACTAAAAGAAAAGTCTTCCATCTTCTGGTTCACTCAAGTGACCACAACAGCCAGAGCTGAGCCAATCTGAAGCCAGGAGCCAGGAGCTTCTTCCAGGTCTCCCACATGGGTGCAGCATCCCAAGGCTTTGGGCTGTCCTCAACTGCTTTCCCAGGCCACAGGCAGGGAGCTGGATGGGAGGCAGGGAGCTGGATGGGAAGCAGGGCTGCCGGGATTAGAACCAGCACACATATGGGATCCCAGCACATTCAGGGCAAGGACTTGAACTGCTATGCTATCACGCCGGGCCCCAAAATTAAATAAACCTTTAAAAACAATAGAATTGAAAACTTCTAAAGAAATGCATTTCCATCTTGCTAGCTAATATTTAATAATTTAATCTGCGAGCGCTAACAATGAACTTTTTATGTTGAGGAACAGGGACTTAACATTTAGCAATTTGCTGTTTAAATGGTGACATCTGTGACTCTCCTTCAAGATCAGAGAGATGTGATCAAAGAGACAGTCTGGAATCGACCAAGAGACAGGGCTTCAAGCCAGTGCTGTCTCCACACTCTGTGGGCCCCCCAGTGGACTTGCTGCTGCGACAAGGACTCAGCGTCCTTCAGCATTCACTGGGCACAGCAGTCTCCTGCCAAGTCACACAGCCCTGGGCGCCTCCTTCAGACCCTTCGCACAGAGCGCATGTGGCGGTCAGGACCCCAGTGACAAGGACCGAGGCCACTCCTTGGGCCTTTTGGGTCACACGCCAGGATCTGCTCTCACAGGCAAAGGCTCAAAAATAGCTTTCAGCACACTTGGACGGGTGCCCACTTTCCCCCACTGGCTTCCAGCGGGAAGTAAACGTGGTCGTTTCTTTGTTCAAAGTGACTCCATTGCTTGGCCTCCATTTTTCCACAGCTCTGCCGTTCTGACTGAAGGAAGTCACCCCATTATTTAAACACCACTTGCCCACATGCCGTGTGACGTCTCCTCTGTATGAGAAACTGTTTGCCCAAACTTCCGAACTGATCAAAGGCCTGACTTTTTTTTTTTTTCTGTGACAGTCACTATTGCTTAAATGTATACCAGTTTCCCACAAAGGCTCAATTTTTGTAAATTTGATCTTGTGGAAGGACTGCATCTACTGACTCATTTTAAGCACACCAACAGATGAAACTTTGAATTATGTATGTATATTTTAAACATTTCGTTTTTGAAACTATTAAAGAGGCAGAGTTATAGAGAGAAGGAGAGACAGAGAAATCATCACTGCTCAGACGGCCGTATTTGGCTGGAGGTGAGCCAATACAAAGTCAGGAGCCAGGAGCTTCTTCCGGTTTTCTCACGTCAAGTGCAGGGGTCCCAGGGCTTGTGTCATCCTCCACTGCTTTCCCAGGCCATTTGCAGGGAGCTGGGTGGGAGTGGATCAGCCAGGACACAAACCAGCACTCCGAAGGGATGCTAGTATAACAGGTGGAGGCTTAGCTTGCTAAGCCATTGCACTGGCCCCTGAATGATAATTTTTTCAAAAATGAAACCTGTCTTCCCAGTTTTGAGATGATAAACACTTTCCAAAGGGCAGCCAGGTGCTGAATTTGGGTCTCCATTTGTGGGGGAGACAGACGCTTGAGTAGGTTGGGAGGATCAAGTGAAAACACAGAGATGATATATGTGGGCACTTCAAAGGTTATGGACGAAGGAAATGAAAATGTACCGAGCTGACTGCAAACACATTTGGCATGCATACATATGAGGGCGTCTCCAAAGAGCTCATGGTTTCATATTGTGAAAAAAGTATGCATGGGCTTTAGGGGCCTGGCGTAGCAGCTTAGAGGCTAAAGTCCTCACTTCATATGTGCTAGGATCCCATATGGATGCTGGTTCATGTTCCAGCTGCTCCACTTCCCATCCAGCTCCCTGCTTGTGGCCTGGGAAAGCCGCAGAGGATGGGCCAAGGCCTTGGGATCCAGAATCCATGTAGGAGGCCCAGAAGAAGCTCCTGGCTATGGGCTTCAGATTGGCTCAGCTTTGGCAGTGTGGCCACTTGGGGAGTGAAGCAGTGGATAGATCTTTCTTTCCTTCTCTCCTGTAAATCTGACTTTGCAAATATATACATATACACACATATATGTTTGAATCTTGGAAGTCGGGTCAGGTGTCTTGACACTTTATTGTGTCCAGCAAAATGGAAGCACTGTCTTACAGTGGCAGATCTGCGGTCACTTGGACAACCCGGTCCCTTCTGCAGTGAGCGCTGCTGTGGTCCTGAGCCCAGGGGCCTTTGGCTGGGCAGCCACTCTCAGATCTTCCCTCTTGAACTCATGCTCACTTTGCCCTGAACCCAGGACTTGTAAATACACTTGCAGCAGCCAGATATTCTGCCATTTCAAGCTTGTCTTTCTGTCTTCCAATAGGAGATCATTCAGGGAAAAGATAGGTTTATCTTGATTCCCTCAGTACCTGCTGTCCACTAGGCACCTGTGACAGTTAATTTTAGGTGCCAACCAAGTAAATTAAGGGTTATCCAGGTAGCAGGTATTTCTGATTAAGTCTGCGAGAGTGTTTCTGAAAGATTGGTGTTTAAATAATGGGGTGAGTCAGGATGATGTGCCCTAACCCACTGTGGGTGGGGCAGCATCCCCTCAGCAGGGGGCTCAGAAGGAACTCAGAGGAGAACTCGCTTTCCCAGGGATGAGTTGGGACACCTTTGGATATCAAAGCACTGGATCCTGGGGCATTTGGAGACCAAGGTTCGTACCAGTGGCCTAGCACGTTTCCAGGCATCTCTAGTATGTCATGCTTCCCCTGGTTCCCAGCCTGTCACACCGAGCCAGGACACTGGTTGCTCTTCACGGGACTTTTCCTGTCTTCATAGGGACAGGAGCCGATCTCCATCTCACATACCTTTGCTCCTACTTACACCTGTATCATCAATTCTCCCAGGTCTGTTCCACCGGACAGTCTTAACCAACACAGCGTTTGAATGAATGACTCAAATGAGCATTCAGTTATCATTTTACCGTAAACACTGTTAACACTGCACACTACGCAAGCTAAAATAGCAATGGGAGGATACTGGAGAATTCAGTAGGAATGGCTCTAAAAGGCATGAGTAGCCATTAGGACACTTGCTATAACAGACGTGGCCCGAGGGAGCCCTTCAAAATAATTTTCTTTAGCACTTACTCTTAAACCAGGAAAACAGTTGTCCCGTTTTCCATTCGTTCTTGGTTGGACAAAGAATACCACTTTTTTTTTGTACATAGTAAGCTCCTACTTCACAGCTAAGAAACACAGAGGCAAATTTATGGGGTGTTAAATGTGAAATTTTATGTAGAAAGAGCAACACAAAGAGTTCATGGGCTAAAAGGAAAACAAACTTAAATTTTGATAAGAAATGTTTTGAACTTTGCTAGTGTAGATAAGACTTACACAATCTTTAGGAAATCAGTGGGCGGGGGAAGGGAGGAAATACTAACATGGTAATATTACAAGGCTTAAATTCAATTTTGAAAGTTAGCTTAAAAGACCAAAACATTTATTTCACAAAACTTTCTTGGGGCCATTGCCATGGTGTGGTAGCTTAAGCCCCTATCTAGAGTACTGGCATCCCATCTGGGTGCCAATTTGAGTTCCAGCTGCTCCACTTCTGACCTCTCCCTTTATGGCCCTAAAAAGCAGCAGAGGACGGCCCTGCACCCATGTGGGAGATGCAGAAGATGCTTCTGGATTTGGATGAGCTTGACTGCAGCTGTTGGGGCCACTTGGAGAGCGAACCAGCAGATAAAAGATCTGTTTCCTTCTCTCTGCCTTTCTAATAAATCCTAGAAAAAAAAATCCCTCTCTTTCACAAACAGTGAAACAGTTACTGTTTTCGGATTTATAGGATGTACATGAGCGAATGCTACAAAACCCCATCTTTGTTGAGCATACCTGACCATATGCTCGAACAAGCTGCAGTCACGGTGGGAGGGAGGATTCTGTAATTGCTACTCCTCAAAGTGATGTATGAAATGAGAAGTGTAGTGGCAAAGAATAGTGTTTGTCTGGTTTAGAGGGAAAAGATATGCAAGATTCAGGGCTCCCGGTTTCCTGCTGATTGCCTAAGCGTGAAGGTTTAGCTCAAGAAGCAGAAGGGTTTATTGATTGATTGATTGATTTTGGTGGTTGTAATTCCTCTGCCCCGCAACTACTTCCCACCCCCAGCAATCCCCCTCCTTCCTGTCCCTCTCATCATTAGGTTTTTGCAAAAACATAATTTTAATTCACTCTGTATTCACAGACTTAATTTGCCACTAGTCATAATACTCCATAAGTAACAAGCGACCACAGTTCCACAGGAGCATAAATAAGGGCTGGACACGACAATCATATCCCCAGACAACCACTTCATGCTTCGGTATTCTAGGTTAACTGTTACATATCAATGAAGACATATGGCATTTGTTATTTTGAGATGGCTCATTCCACCAGGCATAATGGTTTCCAGTTGCATTCAGCTTAAGAGGTTCATGTGTGTATGTTTGCTGTGCTTCAAAATAGCGGAGAAATGATCTTTTAAACTACCCATAACACTTTATTTTTACTTTGTACAAAATACAAAAAATGCAGATCCAAAGAGTACAGGCCAACAGTGACAGGCACACTGCACGACAGCAAACCTTGTCTGGCAAGACATTAGTTTTTTTAAACTTTTATTTTAGTGAATACATGCATTATATAAAACAACAGCAGCAACAACAAAAACACACAGAGAGGCTAGAGTTCTTGCTATTTCTACCCCCCAAATAATGCTTGCTATCAAGACGTTGGATGGAGGTGGGGAAAAGGAATTAAAAAGGTAAATAATTATTTATTCCCATACAAAAGTGAAAGCTACCGTAAAATGTCCGTATTTATTTATTTTTTTTTCCTGGCACACTGATTAAATTTCTTTTGAAAACCCACACAAATAAGCAGAAACAAAGGAAAAATCCTGAACTGAACAGCTAACAAACACTCAGGAGTGTTGTTAAGCTAGGTGACCATTCAGTAGTTTCGAGAATCCTCTAGGCAAAGCCCTTCCATTCACTCCTCAGCACAGCGTTGCGTCCGTCTGCCTCTTATCCTTCCAATACCTCTGAGAACAGGATGGCTTACATCACTGAGTCTGTTGCTAAGAACTAGTTTTGAAAAAGAAAGTCATGTACAAAAATATTTAACAAAACTATGAGAGATGTAGAAAGGAGTTGTCTTCGTAGCAAAGTTGTCGGCGCTTTGCAAGGGTTCGTCTGTATACTCGTCAGGGCTTGTTTATTTGCCCCATGAATAAGACAGCACCTACAAAATCGAAAGAAACGCTTAAACGCTTATAGCAAACACATAATTAAGGGGTGAGAGGGAGAAAAAGATGTGTTTAACCTGTGGTTGATAATATTGTCTAACAGAGCTTTCCACATGGGGTTAGCCACAGTGACAGGTGTGTGTTTGAAATGCAGCTGGCACTATTAAGAAACTGAATTTTGAACTATATTTCATGTTGGCTTAAGGTTAAAAAGAGCCTCCGGGCTGGAAGCTCCCACACTGGACTGTTGAGCTCTGGAGCGAGCACACTAATCAGAACATTCAAGAAGCAATGAGAGGTCCTGATGCAGACCTGTCTCTCCATAACTGAGCTGTTCAAAATGGTGGTCGCTATCAATCAACACAAAGTCAGCCTTGCAAATACAGCTGCGTACTTCCTAACTGCAGGGAGAGACAGGCAGGGTGACTGTGTTCATCCCGATGCTACTGCTAGAGGTCCGGGTCAAGGAGGAACACACAATCCCTAGAGCTGAGATCCAATGATCAAGTACTTTCCAGGTTATAACGGCCCGGTGGGCTTACACAGACTGCAGATGTGTCATTCCTTATCGACTTTATTGCATTCATAAAAGCATGCACAAACGAGTTGTCCTTTCTGCAGGCTAGCAACTACAACCAACTCGGAATTTTGTGTGTTTAAACATTTATAGCACATTGTAGACGCACAGCCTTGATTTTCCTAGCTAATATGTTTATTATTGAAAGTGTGAAATTGACAGAGGGGGACTGGACTAAGGACAATGCTGTTGGAACTACCAGAACTGCAGTATGCCTTTCCGGTGAACAAGAGAGAATTTCTTACCTGTTGGATTGTGTCGAATGAAAAATAGGAAGGGTCTGTCCACTATAAACCAGGGAGGTGATGATCTAGCAATTAGAATCGCAGCTACGGGAAGAAGAGGAAAACGTATTACACCCTGAACACAAGGCCAACGAGGCAGTTGGCTTGAGGGATTCTCTCAGCCAAGTGTTTGAGGACACACGGTCTGTCCCTCAGTCCCCATTTATTGCACCTCTGCTCCTGGCTAGGCCCATGACACTTTCATGGCGTTTGTCCTTTACATAACACCATCTTCTCTAATAAGTGCACTTATTCCTCGTGGGGTTTTTATGGGGACTGAATGACATACAACATGCAACAGCTATTGGAAAGCAACTGCCACTCCACAGATACCCAATGTCTACTTGGCGTTAAGATTAGCTATCTTTTAGTCACACCATCTGAACTGCTGATGAAAGTCCCTGCCCCTGTGTAGCCGAGCCAAATCCTTTCTGGACAGGAAGGCTTCGCTCACTCCTATCCTTCTGTCTGTGCCTTCTTTGGCACATCATTTAGAAGGTGCTTCCTGTGCCAGAATTAGACCATCCCGAATAACTTACTTCCTGCAGACATCTGGTTTACAAACTTCTTCAGGCCCCTGGGTCTTAGACATGCTCACTCTGCTGTGCCGACCAATGACTGGCTCGACAGTGACGAGGCCTTGAAGGCGGGCAGGCATGGGGTGTAACTACCACGCTCCTTGTACAATGGCTCAAACCTCTGAAAAGCACTTGGCATTCTAAAGGAAACACCTGCCATGATTGTGGAGCAAAGCCTGCACTGAGGAGTTACTGAAGACTAACAGCAGTTGCTGTGGACAGAATGGTGTCTGTCCCAACATTCATATGCAGAAGTACTTCATGTGACTGTGTGGACACAGTGTCTCCAAGAGGTTAATTAAGGTTAATCGAGGTCCTAAGAGTGAAGCCCTCACCCAATACGATTGGTGTGTATTTTTAAATGGGCAGAGGCCCCCAGGGATGTGCACGTGCAGTGAGGACATGGTGAGGCGGCATGTAAGCCAAGAGAGAGAGATTTGACAAGTACCCAAACCCACCAACCTCTAGGTATTAGACTTTATCTTCTAGAATTCAGAGAAAATAGTTGTCTGTGGCTGAATCCATATCCAGGGGCCAGTTTTTTTTTTTACATGAGCCTGGGCTAATACAACACAGCCTGGATGGTTATACAAGGACCTGTACTTGAGTTAGTATTCTGCCATTTGCAAAAATTTAAATATCACTATGACATCTAAAGAAGATAAAAGTCATCTTTAAAATCCCAGCTTTCTTATTCTAGATCTTTGTTTTAGATGCTGTTTTCAAGCAAGGAAAAAATGAGAACAGTGCAAAAGCATCCCTTGGAGTATAAATAGTATGTTTCAATTACCCGGCTACGAATTTAGCTAACATGTGTATGAGCTCACCGAATTTGGTTAAGTAGCTTCACTCAATATTAAATGGATAATTAGAGGCAAAAAGCAAACTGAACTTGCCCTGTTTTTTTTTTTTCCTTCATTTACAAAATCACCAAGGAGAAAGTGGCTGTGGCTGTCCTGTGTATGGAAGGAGGCTGCACGCAATCCTCTGATCATCGAACAAGAACTCACTAACTGTCTGCTTCCTCCTGGAGAGGTTGGCTGTTTTTTCCCCTCATGTGATGCAAAGTTTCAATAGGAAGATGGGTCTTTTCTGCCAGTAAGAAGCTGATTTGTGCTAAATCTCCCGAAATCACAGATCAGCAAAGCATGGTCTTCTGGCCAAAGCTCCAGCGCCAAAGGCAATTTTGACAAGTAAAGGTCACACACACAGCTACCCTTGTCCACTCTCCATGGCTGCTCCCAGCCACAATGGGAGAGTTGAAAAGTTGGGACATGGCCCAAATCCACACTCTCTAGCCTTAGCTTGCTGACTGCCGTTCTAGGAGATGTTTCTCTTACTGAAAGGTTTTTGTTTTTGAGTGTTGCTGGGTGTGTCTCCCAAAGCTCAACGCTTGGCACGTGGGATAAGGGGGAAGGCTCGCTGTGCACCTGATGGCTGCAAGGCTGATGGGGGAATCGGGCCGACACAGAACCCAGGCCTTACTTGTTGCGGCGGAGGCTTTGGTTCCATCTTCACTGACTTCAATCTTTGCTTTCTGCAAGATGTGAGAAACATGAAGGTTTTCTGACCCTGTTTCCAGAAAAACAAGACAGAATTGGCATTAGTTTCATGTGGTGGCCATGCATCTGCTTAAGGGAGGAGAAATCTCAAAGCCACGGGGAATTCCACCTCCTAAAAAGTGTCAGGAAAAATCACATTAGGGATGGCGAACTCTCAGCAACTTTGACTTGCAGTGACTTTCAAATTCTATGCAGTGAACTGTGCTGTTTCTGGGGACAGGGGCGACCTGGACCCCAAATGTGTACTGCCTTTATCAATTCAACCCTGACCAGTAGGAACTGTATTAAAAAAAAAAAAAAGAGCAGAACTTCAAAATGGCAGTCCAATTTTCCAGGAGACCCAGAAAGGATTTCAGATAGCCTTAACAGGTGGGGAAACTGAGGTGTCGGGTGTTAGCATTCTGTCCCAGGACACACTGCCATCTAACGGCAGAGTAAGTGTAGCTTTTCCTAACTCATCTCACAGTCACAAGGAGTCAGATTAGTCAAGAGTGCAGGCTCCTGTGGGAGGCTGAGCACACGAATGCACTGGTGCCTCGCGGGGCTTCTAGCTTTATTCTCTTTCTTCTCAGCAACTCCCTATACTACCAGCAATACCCACTGCGTGTAGTTTCTCAGGAGAATGGAGACTGGTCAGCCTGGACAGCACACAGAGAAAGCTCCATCTGGTGCTAAGCGCTCTGCATCAAGGCCCAGCACTGTTACGACCCCATATGACCGAGATGCACAATCATGTGGCCCAGGTCACACAATGCAGTAGGCTATTCATCAGGAGAAAACGGGGGCACACTGCTCTGTGAACATTCCCTATTTGGTAATTATGCCACAGCAGACCATACTGGAGGAAAAAGTATAGGGTCAAAGGGTACTACTCAAACTTTAACGGGTCAAGGGCCTCTGTTGAGATCAGGATTCTTATTCAGTGGGTCTGGGTTACACCTGTGATGGTGCAGATCCAACAAACTCCCAGGTGACGATCATGCTGACGGGAACTGCAAGGGCTTAAAGGGAATGACAAGCTTCATGGCGCTGTTTCAACAGGGAGCCAGCACATGACAAAGTCTGGCGGTGAACTCACTTCTCAGCACTCAAAGGGAAAATACAGACAGAGCATGAATCACTCTCAAGCCATGAATTTTCTTCAGAAGAAGGCTGCTACTCAAACATGACTCAAAAAAGGTATACAGAGCAGTAAGTGAAGGGACATAAGGGTATTTATGGCTCAGCTGCACTGGGAAAAAAGTTCTCATTGAACATTAAATGACAGATGGGGAGAAAATGTTATACTCTATATGCTGAGGAATTAATGGCAAATGTTTAGAAAGGATACTTGTCAATCAGTAATAAGAATAACACCCTTTACAATAATTTTTTTTTTTAAGTTCTCATTGGACTCACTGGAGTTTCCATGATTTCAGACTGATAGGCAGGAAGACGGTACTGCATGTCCACCTGCTGCTCTAAGGAAGTTGGTAAATATTTGAGAACTGAAAAAAAAAAAAGCCAACCTTGGCTTTTCTTAATACACAGAAAAAGTTTGCACTAAAAAAGAGAGCAGTATATAGTTCTGAATCAACATTTTAGGGAACAGGAGCAACACACGAGTGGCTGCTTCCACACGCCGTGATGTGACTGGGCCTTCCCATGACTCGTCTGTGGAAGGCAGGGGAGAACGACGCTTGCTGACTTAGATGGTAAAGCCAACAGCATCTTCTGATGATGCATCAAATGAAACCTTGAACACTTTTTACGGCAACACATTTCCAAATCTGATTTTTGTTTTCTATTCTGATAACAAATAAGTGATACCATTTTCATCAAGAATAAGTGTTAAATGGAACCTACTTGTTATTTTTGCAAAATTTGCCTTTGAAGGATCAAACATCTCGGTAATGCCAAGAGCTTTCAGCGGCTCCTTCAAGTCTGTTTGTGCTACTGCTGTGAACCTACACGAAAGCAGGAAAGAGGGGGCAACATCACTAGGCCATCAACGACACAATGATATGATCCGTGCATGTCAACATCGGGGTTTTGGTTTTTTGGAAAGGAAAATCTGAACATGAATATGAAGTTCACCTTAAATTCTAATTTCCAAATTTAAATGGGAAGCAACTCCTCTCTCAAGCATTCGGCTGACAAAATCAGCAGTGCATACTCCGCATACTCCTGCACCTTCATATGCAACAGGTTCTCATTCCAGTGCTTAAGGAGCGTCTACCGCAGCACGCTCAGTGTAACGGTTCCATGTCTGCATGTTCCCCGAACTCTGCAAGCCAATGGTCCTGCCCCACAGCCAACTAAAGAGCCACCATTTTATCGCCTCTAAGAACCGACACCCTTTGGGACTAGAGGTGGTCAAAAGGAGGAGATTCATTCCTCATAGCTCGTGTGAGGATTCTGAAAGCATTTTACTGCAAAAGAGGAATAATCATGCATAATTAATATGGATTTTTGATATGAGGGCCCACCAATTTGGAGGCACTGCACATGGACAGATCTGACACTAAATTGATCAGAAGGGAACACTCTGCCAGATTTGGTCCCACCCCACAGAAGAAAACAGAGGGAGGGGATGAGTGGATTCCCCTCCCATGTTTGCCATAGCAGCTTATCTGTTCTTTACAGCTGATGCCTATAATCTCACCGACTTAACTGCCTACACCACATTCAGCCTACTTGAAGGCTTATTCCATAAATCACTCATAAAAATCTTGAGAAGACTGCTAACACTTATCATGAGGTTATCGCTCTGATTACTTAACTCAGAGACTGAAAAAAATCAAAGCCTAGTAGATCTCTCTCTACTAACTTTCAAGGCCTGGGCAGTTAAAAATCTGGATAGTGGGAGCAAAAGTAATGTTGAAAAGTTTACAGAAACGAGACAGGATTCATCGCCTCCTCTCCAGGTCAAATGGTCTCTGACTCGTTAAAAGGTTTTGACCTTAAGGCAGAACGTCTCAAATTTTATCTATATTTTAGGGAAAACCAGAAAAACTACCTTAATGCCAGATTATTACTACAATGCATAGAGATCTGTGAAACTACATTCATGCCAGGTTTTTTTCAGGTTCTTCTTTCTCAGCCTCCTGCTGTCTGCTATCCCACACAGTGCCATGTTTTGTTCTCCAGAGAACAAAGCTACTCACTTGGGCAGAATCACCTGCACCCTCTTGGGCACCATCATACCCATCCAGCTGTCGATGGTCTTGGTGCTGATGTGGGGGATGATGGCCGACAGGGGGGTGGAGCTCTCGGTGGGCAGAGCAATCAGCATGCTGATGCTCTCTCCGTGGTAGGGCAGCTCGATGAAGTTGTACCATAGGTCATTGGGGGTGCTGGTGGAACCTAAAGAAATCAAAGGCAGGTCAGTGCGTTCCTGGTGACTTCTGGAAATGACATTGCGGCAGCGGTAGAGCGGAGCTAGCAATGCAGCTGCAGAACTTTCCCTCTGTGGCCGATAGTCTCCTTGGAAGGACAAAAATAAGGGCGATTATTTCTTCGTTCCCTCATGAGGAGCTTTCTTTTTCAGTTTATCTTGGAGCATCACTAAAATCATTTTACTTTGGCTGAGTAGAATTTAACTAGATTACAAGGCTTTCGGCACACAGTGTTTTGCATGAAGTTGACCATTATTATAAGAATAAAATAATGAATTTTGAATGACTTGGAATTACTATTTAAAAACATTCATACCTTAAGATATAAAATGAAACTGTGGGTTGCAGAGTTACTACAGTGAAGCAAATGAACACACCCATCACTTCAATGGGCCTACCTTTTCTCTCCTGTGTGAGGTGACCAGTCAAAACTGACTCATTTATCAAGAATCCCAAGGACAATATAATTTTAATATTATATATACTGGCAGGCCACATTTTGGATGAACTACAAATTCATGTAGACAGAAAGAGAAGATAAACAGCTTTCACTAGGGATCCTTCTGTGTGAAATCCGTACCAGCTCTTCAGCATCCCGCAAAACGGCAGCCAGGAGAGTTACAGCTGAGACCACAATTCAAGAGATCACGCAGCTTGCCAAGGGCAGCTGGAGAAAAAGAGAGTCTTTCTCCTATTTCAATGCCCTCTCTACTCACTGTTTGCACATTTTGGCAGCCACAATTAGTACTTAGACATGTTACAGGACTTTGGCACACTAACAGGAACTCAGAAATGATTTAGTCCAGTTTTCTCACATGTTGTTAAGGGTACACACTACTGCAAGAAACTTTATAGACAAAACAGATTCCACACCCTACCCTAGTAAGTTAAGGAAGCACAAAACACCTGATTTTCCCTGCTGAACTGACGTATGCCAGTGCTAGAAACACTCTTGGGCATTCTGCAACAACAACAACAAAAGTTTAACCTCAGTTCTCCCCATGTTCCTCAGACTAATTTCATCTTAAGATTATTTGATTTTTACATAAAATATACAGCATATTGATGATCTGCTAGGGTTTCAGTGTCTCTCAAAAGTTCATACATTAGGCGCTTAATCCCTTGTAGTGAAGTGGGTTAAGCTATCACCTAATACGGGTGTTAGTCTGTGTCCCAGCTGTTCCTCTTCTGGTCCAGCTCCCTGCTAATGCACTTGCGAGAAGAGCAGACACAGCCCAAGTACTTGGGCCCCTGCCACTCTGTGCGAGATGATGAAGTCTTGGCCCCTGGCTTTAACACAAGCTGTTGTAGCCAACTGGGGTTAAATTAGTGGATGAGAGACCGCTCACAAAATTTGTATCCTCCAATTCTTACACTGATGGTGTTAGAGCTGGGGGCTTTTGGAAAGCGATAAGGACTTTAGGAAAGAGTAAAGGTGGTGCCCAGGATAGCATCAGTGGTTTTATAAGAGGAAGAGGACGCTGAGCTGACCTACTTGCTCTGTCTCTCCAGGTGATGTCTTCCATCAGGTAACATGCTGACACCTTAACAAGACCCTTCCTGGGTGCCAAGCAGAACCCGGAGCCATGCTCCTCTTCCTCACCTCCAGAACTGTGGGCAAATGAATTCATACTTTCTTCTAAAGTTTTATTTTTACTTATTTGAAAGGCAGAGTGACACAGAGAGAGTCAGAAAGAAAAGATGCCTTCCATCAACTGGTTCACTTTCCAAATGGTTGCAATGGATGGGGCTGGGCTGAAGCCAAGAGCCCCGAATTTTACATCTCCTGAAGTCAGTAACAGGTGCCTCAGTACTTGAGCCAGCTTCAGCACATTTCCACTGTGCCTTAGCTGGGAGCTGGAGTGCATGTGAACCAGCCAGGACTTGAACCTGCCCTTGATAAAGGATGCGGATACTGTGGGTGGCAGCCTAACGTGCCGTGCCACAATGCCAACTCTAAATATACATTCCTGATAGATTTAACATGTGAAACCTGTGACTCAGCACACCTGCAATGAAGTTAGCTAAATGGAACACCAGCACCTCTAGATTTACGCTGGGTTTCTGAAAAGTTTGTAATCATCATCCTGTGACCTTGGCCAACCTGCTCAGTTTCCCTGTAGGTCCTTGCGTGTAGCATGGATGATAATATGTGTATCTCACAGGTTACTGTGACTAAATGAGGGTGGGGGAAATGGTAAGTCTGGCTCTTGTCAGGGCCTGGTCAGGGCTGGTACACCATGAAGGCTGGCCCTTCCTCGTTGCTACCCTCTAAACCACCTGGAAGGGCAGCGTGTTAAGGAGAGAAGAGATGGTGAGTTCGTGCTTGTTCTTCTCCGGCCTTTTTTGGGGGAATGACCTTTGTGAGTCCCTGCAGTTAAGACAGGGAACTTGAAGGTGTCAGCTGGTAGTGGCAGGTGCGTGGGCTACAGCGGCAGAAGGAAGACAGGGAGACAGAGAAACGCTTTTACGAAGGCTTTTAGCCACACGCTGTGATGAAATGGTGCAGCCATCAGACTGCATGGCACTTCAGACTCCTTGCAAGTCTCTCCCTATGGGAGCAACAGCTGTGTAAGTGTGAACTGCTGTGTCTCCCCTGGGCCCATTTTGGGCATTTGGCCTCAGGGCTGTCTGGTAACTCAGCTGTGGTCTGCGTCCGCTGGGATGCCCCATGAGGCCTCACACTTGCCTTGCCTCTGTCTCGGGGCTACCTAGGAATCCAGGACAGGCTTTTTCATCTTTGCTTTCAGCCTGCTCGTACAATAAAGCAGTCTCAATGAAATAAAAAAATCAATGAAAAAGCAACGGGAAAAAAATCTCTTCCTAATGAGCCCTTTAATTCTCTGAAACCACACGAGGGGCGGGCAGAGCTCATCTTCAGAGCTTAGGACATTTGAAAGTGGTTACTAATTGCCCCAGGGCCTGCCAGAAGGCTCAGTGGGCATCAGCTTCTCTTCAAGATGCTTACTCTTCAGAAAAGAAGGATCAAGTTCAGGAACAATGAAAAGCATAGGCTGGGTGTGTTCCCAACGGCATCCGTGTTCAACACCTCGTCCAAACGAGTATGTGCGTAACACGCATGTCTGCTGAGCGCTGTGCAGTCACTGCATCCGCTTCGTCTCTGGTTCCTCCTCCGTTTCTGACTGCGGGCACTGAGGCCCAGCGTTGACCAGGACCCAGGCCTGGCCTCGCTGGAGGCTTAGGAAGCTCAGAGGAGGAACAATGCGTGCCTCCCTCTCCACTCACGCTGGCACAGAACCGCGCACGGAGGACACGAGCTGAGGTGAGCAATGTGAAATTCGGAGTTGCAGGAGCTGGACTCCCATCCTGGGGCTGCAACACATGAAACTGAAATGCTGGCCAGTTCCTCAGTCACGTGGCTTAGTTTGTTCTGTAACAGCCTCCACCTTACAGAACGGGGAAAACTCAGGGAGACCATACCGACGAGGTGGCCAGCACAGCCTGCAGCACACCACCACCTCCCATCTGGTGCCTGGAGGTCGTTTTATAAAATGCCTCACACTGGGACTGCTCAGCCTCAACACCACCCATCCAGCAGAGGGCAGCTGCTTCATTCAACACAGTCTGAGGACATTAACCCTGGAAGTACTGAGCTACATATCTAAGAATTGACGTGTAAGAAAACTCACCCGTGTTCTTTACCATAGGGAAATCTAATGTATTATAAGCTTAAACCATGGATGGCCATGTAGCTGACGGATGACGTAAGCCCCCATGAACTGAAGTCGAAAGTCGCACATGATTCCTTATCTAATGAAAACGTCAGTCACAAGAGTAGAAATTACAGTGTAATCCTACGTAACTATGCAAAAGTGTCATACATTTTACAAATCTATTGAAAAGTCTTAAAAGTACTCAAAAGCAAATTTTTATCTTACAAAACGGGATCACAGGGGAACTTGGGCTTTCTTCTCAATAAGCTGTTGCATTTGATTTTTTCAAGAGCATGAAATATACATCTACTACAAAGGATTTTAAGATTTTGTTCTTGTTTAATACAGAAGTGTCTGAACTCAATTAGCATTTTTTTTTTTAACCAGACACAGGTCTCCCTCTCTGTTCTCCACCCTTCTCTTAACATCAGCAAGTGCATCTTCTGAGATCTTGAAGACATCTCACAGAAAAATGTCAGGACAGGTACATTGGATGACAAGGTTCTGGCAAAGCAATGAAGAACAGGGAGGCTCGGCCGAGGTCCACGGTGCACTTGACAGATGACACTGGGGCCGCAGTGTGCCTGACCAGTGGCACTGGGATACAGTGAGGACACAGAGGGATGGCCAGTGCATCGCATAATGAAGACAAATGCCTGCCCAGGGGCCATCCTCACGACCCGAACCAAGCAAGCTAAAAGGCCACTGTGCTCATGGAGTTAGCTGGCTCCCCATAGCAGAGCACCAGTTCAAGTCTTGGCTACTCTGCTCATGATCTGACTCCCTGTTAATTCCCTGGGAAAGCAGAGGAAGACACACCAAGTACCTGAGCCTCTATCACCAAATGGTAGATCCAACTGGGAGCCCCAAATGGAACTCTGGGCTCTTGGCTTTAGCCTGGGCCACACCTGGCTGTTGTGGCCATGTGAGTGAACCTATAAGCAGAATATTGCTTCTTTCCTTCTCTTTCACTTTCTGTCTGTGTCTTCAGCTTTCTATTACATCTTAGCCTTTCAAATAAATAAATCTTTAAAAAAATAAAGAACATATGCAGGCTGCAAAAAATGTTCAGATGTATTCGGGGATGATGGACAGTGAATTATGCAACTGTACTAGGCAAGACCCACATGTCTAGGAGAAGACTACAGGTTTGAAGTTTGCCTTACAGTCAAACAAAAGATTCATTTAAACTGAACCCAGAGTGTTTCAATGGTGTTAGATTTAAAGAACCATCACCAGGGCTGGCACAATGGCTGTTACATAATTCTCAGCCTGCAAGTACAATCATTCCATATGGGAACTGGGTCATAGCCCTTCTACTCCACTTCCCTTCCAGCTCCTTGCTATGACCTGGGAAAGCAGTGAAGGATGGCTCAAAGCCTTGGGGCCCTTCATCCAAGAGGGAGACCTGAGAAAATCTTCTGGCTTTGGATCAGCTCAGCTCTGGCACTTGCAGCTATTTGGGGAGTAAACCAGCGAATAGAAGATCTTTTTCTTTCTCTCTCCTTTTTTTCTGTAAATCTGACTTTCCAATAAAATAATAAATAAATCTTTAAAGAACCATCACCAGACTCTGACATCTGTGCTGTATACCGACAGCCACATCCGACATATTTTTTCCAATTGTAAAAATTGTTCATTCTTGTTTTAGATTTATTTATTCGTTTTTATTTGGAAAGTTAGATTTTCAAAGAGGTGAGACAGAAAGATCTTCCATCTGCTGGTTTATTCCCCAAGTGATTGAAATGGCTGGAGTCAATCCAAAACCAGTAGCCAGGAAGGAACTTCTTCTGGGTCTCTCACACAGGTGCAGGGTCCCAAGGCTTTGGGCCATCCTCTACTGCTTTCCCAGGCCACAAGCAGGGAGCTGGATGGCCAGTGGAGCATCTGGGACACGAACCGGTGCCCACATGGGATCTTGGTGCATGCAAGGTGAGGACTTTAGTCACGAGACTACAGCACTGGCCCAAAACTTACTCATTTTTTTAAAAAAAAAATTCAGTTGCAAATAAACAAAAGCGCTTTATTTGAAATCTCATCACTGTTAACATTTTATTGAACATCTCCCAAGATGTATTTCCATAGATACATGGCACCTGCTGTTTTACACTTGCTTTCTGAAATCAACCACACGTCGTATAATTTTTCTGCTTACACAAATCTAATACTCACACACATTCCATTTTGCAGTTATGTCTCAGTTTCCACAGGGATGGGTTCTGGGATCCTCAGTGGCTGACAAAATCCTGGCACAGAAACTGCCCAACCTCCCATATAGTCTGTGTTGCTTCCAGATTACTCATAATACTGAATTCAGTGAGAGGGTCACGTGCGCAGTTGCTGCATTGTACGGGGATCAACAACGGGAAAACAAAGCCTGTGTGTTCAGCCCAGATGAGCTTTCAAACTGTTTGGAATCCATGACTGGCTGGATCTGAAGCTACAGCACTGGCAGACAGGAGGGACTCACTGCATGCTTGCCTCTCGCTCTTCTATGTACTGAGGTGTGACAGAGACTAAGTCCCCTGTCATGGGACCGCCGGGACCAGGTTCGGGAGCAAGTCTTCCAGGCCACCCAACTCTGCCAGCTGGGCTCAGGGCCATCTTGGCCCACACTGGAGCCATGACTGGCTTGCATCAAGCTTCCCAATTTTCACTAATCCAACAAGTAAACGAGAAGTCTAATTTTGACTAGGTTTAACTTGGTAACGGAAGGTGATGGTACTTTTACTCGCTCAGTGCCTGTCCATCCTTCTACTTGGAATAATCCTTCCATCTTAAACACAACAAAGTGCCTGCATACATCATGTATGAATACCTCACCCTCCTGAACAACTCCATGCCTAGCCATATGCCGTGACAAAGTCCTGTGGCGTTCCCTTGGCCCTACCCTGTGCCCTGCTTGTTCGAACACGAAGACTGCTCATGAACTGAGAGGACTCCGGGGGCTTTCTGGAACGTGTCTCGACAAGCATGACCTTACCGCATCGGAAGACAGACAGCTGGGCCAGCATCGGCACTTGATAGGATTTCCCATCGCCAGCTACAAACGTGCGCTTCTTGGTATTTTCTGGCTGAAACCGCGATTTCCACAAGCCCTTAAAATACACGGCGTTGACCAGCACCAGTCGGGTGAGCATGCCGTCGATGAGATCTGGGGTCAGTAGTGAGTCAATCATACCTGTGGAGGCACAGAACAAACAAGGGAACAAACCTCAGGGTTGGTGGCCAATCAGGAAAGTAAGTAGCGCCCGTTGATTAGGCAGAATGTTCAAAGATTTTACAGGGGCCTGGTGCTGTGGCAATGCCAGTATCCCACATTGTGACACTGGCTCCAGTTCTGACTGTTTCTTTAACTGTTCACTTCCAATCCAGCTTCCCATTAATGACCTGAGAAAAGCAACAGCAAATGGCCCAAATGCGTAGGACCCTGCCACCTGCATTGGCGACTGGGATGAAGCTCCTGGCTCCAGTCCAGCAGAGCCATGGCTGCTGTAGCCATCAGGAGACTGGGCCACTGGATAGCAAATGTGTCTCTCCCTCTCTGTAACTCTTTCAAAGAAATAAGTTCTTAAAACAGACATTATTGCTGACGCCCTGTATGTCTCACATTTTAAAAATTTCTACTCATCTCAACAAGCTCCATTTAATCTATAATTATATCCCCACTGTTACTAATAAAGGATGTGCATCAGTGTCAGAGAGGGATTTTGGTCCCCACACAATCAGCAGTTTTAGTTTTGCTTTATTTTTTTTAATCACAAGATTGATTTAATTCAGCCTGTGCAGTGTTGTCAAGGCTTAATCCTCGGGTTAAGATTTTGGAAATGCTGAGGATTAGTTCAGAATCCCTGACTGTGGCTCCGTAGCAAGTTGAAGAATACAAACAAAACTGGTGTCTGTATTTATAGGTCGGATGTTGAGCTAGTGCTGAGACTACAGAGAGAAGAACTGGGGTGTGTTCTGGAAGAACTTGGGGAGGTGCTGGGGATGGTCCACGTTGCCAGTGCCAGGGGTCGGGGAGCAAATGTGGCTCTCCTCACGCATGATGCCAAGGATCCTCCCAGAGTCTTGCCTGGGGGTGCAGCTCTGGTTTCCCATTCTGTGCTTGGTATTTGCCAAATTATGTGCATGTGTGTTGACAGGGATCCCCGAACCTCCTAAACTACTAAAAATTAGGGGTTTTTTTATAGCATTTAAAAAGGATTTATTTATTTGAAAGGCATATTTATAGACAGAAGAGGAAAGACAAAGAGATCCTCCATGCACTGATTCGCTCCCCAAAGGCCGCAGCGGCTGCAGCTGAGCCATGGGAAGACAGGAACCTGAAGTCCCTTCCTGGTCTCTCACGTGAGTGCAGAGTCCCAAGGTTTTGGACAATCATCTGCTGCTTTTACCAGGCCATAAATAAGGAGCTAGATCAGAAGCAGAGCAGCCAGAACATGAACCAGCACCCATATGGGAAGCTGGCACTTGTAGTCTAGGGATTAGCCAACTGAGCCTTCATGCCAGCCCTGCGTCACTTTATTTTAAAAGGTGAGAGCAAAACCAAAAGCTTCTGAAGCATCAAGCACGTCTAGTTCAGCAGAGACAACTTCTAGTCCTTTCAATCAAAGCTAGCAAGGGGATGCTAGCATACAATCAGCAAATGAACATTCCCTTGACCCAAGGCGAGCTAGGACAGTTTCACCACTACTCCTAACTTCCACAAGGGGGCACCAAACAACCTTCAGTCAAGACCCAGAGGGAAACCACCTGGGCTCTGGAAATGTATGCCTCCCCACAGGGAGGGTCCTTAGAGTTGGTCCTCCAAGTGAATGCCGTTTCTTGCCTTGCTGCAAACACTGCCTTACCCAATAACTACCTGGCTTTAAAACAGCACCGGGAACCCTTTGTGGATAGGAGACGCCTCTCTCATTTTGCATAAAGCCCCATTTGGACAGCAGCTCCATGGCACTGCAGTCTTTTATCTCCAACCAAACTGTGACTTGCACAGGACAAGGGCTCCAGTCCTAGTGTTCAGTGTACAGGTAGTGCTCAGCAAGCGTCTGGGGACATCTCAGTTCTTTTCAGAGATGATCACTGGTAGGACTAAGATGCAAAAGAGGGCAGGCAGGAAGAAAGGAAATGAAAGCAAAAGGAGGAGAAGCTAAAACACACACAGCTTAGAGGCGGAGAACACATGGTGGCCCTGCTGCTAACTGCTACTACTCACCCATTCATCCATTCACCAACTATTCTGTCCATCCATCCATCCATCTATCCATCCATCCATCCATCCATCCATCCATCCATCCATCCATCCATCTATCCATCCATCTATCCATCCATCTATCCATCCATCCATCCATCCATCCATCCATCCATCCATCCATCCATCCGTTTTATACCCAGCCATCCACCCATCTTCAGATAACTTCCTACTTCGTGCCAGGCACACTTGTAACACAAAATGAAACCTGCCCCCTAAGAGCCCTGGATTACAGAGAAGACAGAGGCTGACAACAATGATGTGGAAAAGCATAAGGCTTCAACTTTAACAAATTAAAGTGAAAGGGGAAATTAAGAGGGGAAGTCAAGTGCTCTCATAAGGCCTGGGAAGTGTGGCTTCGTTGAAGAGGAAATATTTAAGCTCATCACTATAAAACTGGCTCACGCGTGTCCTCAGGACAGCCTTCCCATCAAATTCTTTCAACAGATATTACACTATCACCCTTTCATAGAAAAGAATACTAAGGAATAGGGTGGTCAGGTAACATCTCCAAGGATGCATAGCAAACAAGGGGCAGAACTAAGATTCAAAGCCAGAACTTGTGCTTGTAATTCTGATGCTACTCACAGGAAGGTACAGAAACAAATGAGCACTAGCAAGAGGAAGCAGGCGGGACAGGTCAGGCAGCTGGAGGCCCATCTGGAAGTCTCAGACAGAAGGCAGGGTGGAGAGCGAGAGATCTAGCAGCCTGTGCAGCCAGAACAGAGAGGGTGTAGGGAAGCTGTGGCTGAGGACTCAGGACCATCACCAGCCCACTGCCAAGGTTCTTGGTGTTTATCTAGAGAGAGGGAACAGTCTCCCCCAGAGGAGGCACCTGCAGCCATCAGACTGAGCAGAGCCTGAGCTCCAAGGGCGGCCGGGCTCTCAGGCACCCCAGTCCTGCCCAATGGGGCTGATCACCCACAGCCTGGGGACTCCCGGAATGTTTTTGGTTGAATAGGTAGTGGCAAGAAGTGTCATGCATCGCACAGCTTTCCAAAGAGCTGCACTTTGTAAAGGACCGTCTGCTCCCTGTGTGACTTTCACACGCCCCATGCATATCCATGCTGAAGGGAGACTTGACTGGAATGATTTGAGCCCAGCATCTCATTCTCATGTGTAAACACTACTTTTTCTGGGGGCAGGCTTCCAGTGTTTACTTAATTTACCATGTAAATCAAGAGGAGCTTGTCCTTTGTTCTGTGGAGAAATTTATCAACAGTCATACACAACTTCAGAAAAAAAATATCAGCAATGGCAAAACATAGTTTGGGGTCCTTGTGTCACCAGTGCTATGTACCTGGGCCAGCTACTGCTGTAACCTTTACTTTGCAATTATGCTAAGACTCTGACTCCTTTATTATGTATTTGGATATAGCTGTCATACAAGCTTACAATCACAAATGGCATTTCTCTTGTTCTCTCATGTATTACAGCTGGGTGTTATGTTAATTAAAATATCACTGTGTGTATATGCCTAAATCATACGATCTGTAAATCTCATTTCAGGATAACAGAGAGTATTAAAATGTTTGCTTAACAGGACAAGGCTCAGGCTGATTGAGAACTTCTTTGCTCATGGCTTTCCATCTGAGCCTGTCAGGTGCCCTGAAAGCAAGCGACATCACGCTCCTCTTCCGCAGGTCCAGTAGAAGCTTGAGGAGCTGGCACTGCAGTGCATCGGGCTAAGCCACCAACTGGGATGCTGGCATCCCATAAGAGTGCCAGCTGCTCCCCTTCCAACCCAACCCCCTGCTGGTGATTTTGGAAAAGCAGGGAGAGATGGCCAAATGCAACTGCCCCTGCACCCAATGGGGAGACCCAGATAGAGTTCCCAAGTCCTGGCTTTGGCCTGACCCAGCCTGGAGTGCTGCAACCATTTCAGGAGTGGATCATGGGATGGAACGTATCTCTCTCTTCTTCTTTCCCTCTCTAACTCTGCCTTTCTTTTTTTTTAATATATATATATATATATTTATTAATTACATTGCATTATGTGGCACAGTTTCATAAGCTCTGGAATTCCCCCAACTCCTCCCCATACCCTCCCCCCATGGTGGATTCCTCCACCTTGTTGCTGAATTACAATTCAAATTCTGTCAAGATTCTTTCATTGCAAGCGTATGCCAAGCATCGAGTCCAGCATCTTATTGTCCAGGTAAATTCAACAGTTTCTTGGGGAGACCATCTCTGGTCTGAAGGCAGAGCTGGCAGAATATCATCCCGATCAATTTAAAGCCACAACATAACATCAACGACAATTTACAACATTATGGAATTAACTGACATGGTATTGTAACTCTGCCTTTCATGTAGGTAAATGTAGAGTAAGAAGTAAGAAGAAGGTGACTGCATGACACACTGCAGCCACAGCAACAGAAGAGGAACTAGTCCCGAAGGCATCTGCTCCCGGCCACCGTGCTCAGGCCGGCAGCCTCCAGCAGCCCAGCAGAACGCAGGCCAGTGCTGCTCTCCTGGTCATTTTGGGATACTGGGAAAGCTCATACCTGGGCAGTATACCTGGACCCTGAGACTCGTCACTCTATCCGGTCCCTGGGTGCCCTCTCTCATGGATCTGAGTACAGTGGTGGCTGCTGCAGACAGAATGGGAACTGCTCCCTTTTCTCTTGGAGATTCAAAATCAGTGGGCAGAGGTCCAGGGATCTACATTTGACATACACTCCCAAGCAATTCTGTTGCAGGTCTAACAGGAATGTTGGAGTCTCCCCGGCTTGCAGCTCCGCTGCTTCTTTCCTGTTGAGTCATTTTTGGTCCCAATCATTTGACACTAATTCTTCTTGTTATTAAAAAAAAAAAAGCAGAAAGTCTAAGACTGAAACTAAAACAAAAAGGGATCTGGAGTTTCTATTTTAAGCTTATGGGTCCCAATTCTGGTACAGACCCACAGCTCTCCTGAGGATTCAAGCTGAACTTGCAGTTTGCAGACGAACAGCTTTCTAATACCAATGTCAGACACTGTCTCCATTTAACGCAAGGAGACACATACTTGGGAGGTGCTCTGGTGGAGTGGTTTAAGCCATGTGGGCTCTAGTTTCAGTCCTGGCTGCCCCACTTCTGATCTAGCTCCCTGCTCATGTGCCTGGGACAAGTGGCGAATGGTGGCCCAAGCACTTCATGCCCCTGGACCCTTGTGCGAAATCTGGAAGAAGCTTCTGACTCACGGCTATGGGCTGGCCCAGTTCTGCTCATTGCAGCCATTTGGGCAGTGAACCAAAGATGGAAGCTCTCCCTCTCTTTCTTTGTAACTCTGCCTTTCAAATAAATAAATAGATAAATAAATAAATAAATAAAGAGGGGGGCACACACCTAAGTGAGTCACCATCACACAGTGTGGAAGGGGTTGTAATGGAGGAGTTTGCCAAAGATGTCAACACAGGCTGAATATGACTAGTAAGAGTGAATGTGTGTCTTGGTGAAGGCAGGAGTAAGAAGCTGGGAAGGCAGAGAGAGAACACTGAAGGCTGCGTTCCATGCAAAGGGGAGGGCAGGTGCCAAGGCAGAAAGAGATGAATGGGAAAGCCTTCCAAACACAGAGGAGCCCCCAGACATGGCCGAGGCAGGCAGGCAGCAACGGAGGGAGCTACAGGCAATGATGCTCAAAGGGATGCAGTGATGGCAGCAGCATTGAGTGAGGAGGTGGACTGAGCCCCCTGCAACCCCAGAGGAAGTTAGACACGCCACAGTGACCGGCTGTTGGCATTTCTCAACAGGAGGGCCATGGGCTGGCAGACAACAGACAGTATCACGGAGCCGAATGCCCACCTCCATTCACACAGAACTGGGGGTCCACTCACCCCGGGTTTCATTCTTCACCCATGTGTTGACGGAATCACAGGCGGAGGCTGGGTCCCCGAAGTTCATGTTGCGAACTTCACAGCGGAACACATCTTTGTTCCGCGCGACGAAAGGCATTTCCATCTTAAAGCCATTCTTCACAAACACGGCATTGGCCACCGTCACAATGTCTTTATTCTTCTTGGAGACGATGGCCTTGTTGATCTTTTTTAATACTTTACCGACTCCTAAGGGAGAAATTAGCAAGCACAGCAATATTACATAAGCATTTAGCAATGCTTTCTTTCAATTAAATCTCTGTCTCCCAGCAAATAAAACAGCAAAAACAAGATGTCTTATGCTTTCTCAGTGGCTCATTCTTCAGAAAAGCGATGGGTGGGTTTTTAAAGAAACAATAATCACAAAAACTCTCAACACTCAGTTATGTTTCTGCATCACAGCAGGTTCACCGTGGTGAGATGTCACGAGAGGCTGAGACGCCGCTCCCACATCGGTGCCTGGACTCAGACTCCCAGGTTCTGCTCCAACTCCGGCTTCCTGCCAGGGCACATCCTGGGAGGCAGCTGATGACAGCTCAGGGAGCCGAGTCCCTCCACCCATGTGGGAAACCTGGACTGAGTTCCAAGTGCCCTGTGTTGGCCTGGCCCGGGCTCAGACCTGTACCCCGCGGGCTTATTTGGGAGTGAACCAGTGGAGATTTCCACCTCTGTCCTTCCTCACCCCGGCCATGCCGTTTGTTTTCCTTTTCTTTCTTTCTTTCTTTTTAAGATTTATTTATTTTTATTGGAATAGTCATATACACAGAGAGGAAGATCTTCCGGTTGCTGACTCACTCCCCAAGTGGCCACAGCAGCCGGAGCTGAGTTAATCAGAAGGCAGGAGCCTCCTCAGGGTCCAAAAGCTTTGGGTTGCCCTCGACTGCTTTCTCAGGCCACAGGCAGGGAGCTGGATGGGAAGCGGGGCTGCCGGGGTACGAACTGGCAGCCATATGGAAGCTGGGTGTGGAAGGTGTGGTCTTTAGTCACTAGGCTATGGCACTGGGCCTGCTGTGTTTGTTTACAAACACAGACCTATTGAAGGTGTTTCTAGCACCTTCTGAGCATAGCTCTCATTCTCTCAGCAGCCTTTCTAGGGACCAGGTCAGTAAGAATGCTAGCCAGCTCCTTAATGCTCTAGTCCCTGAGGAATAAATCTGGCGATCTCCTAATTCATTCTTTCTCTTGTCTAATCATGAGATTAGACATGCCAAAGGTTTAAAAGCATTTTTGTTTTGTTTTGTTTTGTTTTGTTTTGGGGGGAAAAACAAGGAGAACAACAGAAACACTATTAGTAACTGCCATGTGCCACCATCCACAACACTGTGATTTTTCCTTGATACAAGGCTCACAAGGGAAAGAAATTAATTTTATGGCAATATAAGCTTTATTTTACATGAATCACTCACACATGCTCCATTGAGTCTTATAGACTATGAAAAATTTGAGGTGCAAGTTATGAGGATGAAATGTATTTCGATAGAGAACTTGAATTATACATCTGTCTTTTCAAAATGACATTGTCCTCAAATGTCACACTAGCATTGCATTTCATAGTTCCCCAAGAGCTGACTTGTCCCCTCTCTAACAAAAGCAGGACAAGGTCTTCCCAAGGTGCCTAAAGAGCACCTTACAATGCAAAGAGCCCCTTGTTGGGCCTTTCAGGACCATGCCCATTCCATTCTTTGAGCCGGCCCATTTCCAGGTCAGGCAATAGCTGGCCTCAGAAGCTAAAAGTCGTCCATGGCCAAGTTCCAGAGCCCACCCCGTCGTCCACATTGCCCGATCTTCTACAAGTCCCAGGGATTATCTTCCCGGTTGCTGTCCCCAGCAGCCCTGCTCCCTTCCTCACTACGGTGTGTGCCCGGAGGCTCAGCCCCAGCAGCAAGCTCCCTGGTGAGTCTGACCTGTACACTGAAGTCCTGTTCTACAATGGGACTGCTGGCCACTTTGGAGGAAGAAGGGGTGGGGCGGGATGGAGTTGGTGACCCAGCGTTAAAACAAACAACAAACTCCAGTTGCTATTTCAGAACTTCACTGGCCAACAAGGGCTGGATTGTACCACAAAAAGCCATAAATTTTAGTAGTGATTCACCGTGAAGTTGTAAGTGGCCAGGCGTTTTTCTCTGCTTCCCAGTGAGGGACAGAACAGTGTGTTCAGTGAACCAAAGACGTGATTCTTTCACACTTGCAGCAGGTGAACACACTGCAAACTTAGGTGAAAGGTTAAATAACTGAATCGACAAAGCAGTGCTGTCACCATGCAGGAGCCACACTACCTACGAGGCACACTCTTGAGTCTGGGGAAAACCAGAACCACAACCAGCCCCCTCACTGCCAAAAGTGGCCATGTTTAAATGCTTCTCTCTGCTGCTACTTTCCCCATTGGTCTTAGCTTTCCTCCCTGCTTCTCCAGCCCTCTCTCCGCTACTTTTCTTTCCATTCCTTTCCTCGTAGCTCTATATTGCTTCTGTACCGCTTTTGTACCCCTCTCTGCCACTTTTCTCCCTGTACACCTTAGCTTTTCCATCCAAAGATCTTAGCCCCTCTTCCCCTCTCTGCTACCCTGTTCTTCCCGTTCTGTTCGTCGTTCTTCTCCCAGTCTTTCTCCTTGTTGTCCCCCCTCCTTAGCTTTTACCGGCTGCTTTTATACCATTCTCCACCAATCACTTCTCCCTGTGGGTCCACTTGGCGCTACCTGATAGGCCAGTAGCAATGACATAATCACAGTGAGGGCATAGCCTATGCCTGTGACTTCCTGTTTACCTGCTGGCGAGACCAACCCTGCCTCCTGGCCCTGGGCCAGCCACTATTCTGCGATGGCCTTTCCTATACTGGGGAGCGGCTTCAGCACCCACTCCCCACACAGTGCAGCCAGGCACTTGCTGGCAGCGCTGGGTGGGGTAGCCCTGGAGGAGGTTCCACTAAGAACACAAAGTGTGAGGTCCCAAGTGGCACGAATTTCTACATTTCCCCATCTTACTCTCCCAGCTACAGGTGTTGCTGCAGCCCAGAGTCTTGGAACCTTACGGGAGAGGTAGAAGAACAGGAGTAGGAAAACTAAGGCTTCAATGCAGTAACAGAGCCAGAAGATCCCAGTGCATGTGGGTGATGGGCTCAGAAGCCAGTCCTGTTACTCACGCCCTGCACCTACGCACAGGCAGGTGATGGTGACTGGTCAAAACGCCTGAATGATGGCCGTGCCACCACACCGACAGATACAAGCCCATGTGTGCAAAGAGGTAACTAAAAAACAGGTTTATGTTCAACAAAATTTTCTCATTGGGCTTTATTTTTAAAACATATGTTTTCCAGACTTTTACTTTGGAAGATTTATAACTATACAATAAGTCTAAAAACCTATAGGTACTGTCATTTTATTAGAAACTGCCTCTAGTACAGTTTATAAGGTGCCTTCTCATCTCACGCTTCCTAACCACTGTGTGTGTGTGTGTGTGTGTGTGTGCATATGTGCAGCTCTGTAATTTTGTCCTATGTGACCATTCCTGTCCAAGACAGGACAGTTCCATCATCACTGCGTGCACTGTCCTCCCTGGCTGTCCTTGCGACCTCCCTACAACATTCCTGAAGCTCATTCCCAAGCACAGTGTGTTCTGGTCCTATCCATCATGGAGGGGTGGAAGTGGGGGGAACAGGAAGTTTTCCCTTTAAACACAAGTAGAGTCAAGCACTGGGAGACCCTGTGGTTGATCCCAAGCCTCTTGCAGTTCCAGTTCTCATTTCTAGCATCTGAACAAGTGTCTTTTAGAAAAGACTAACCCTAAGCCCTGGATGAAAAGAGTAACCATAACCCCCCCAACTTCCGGCTGCCTGGCTTCCCAGATGCTAGCGAACATCAGACAACAAACATCTCTCCTTCTGTGTCCCCGTGCTAGATGCCAGGAAAGGCCCAGCCCAGAATGCAGGGAGCACACGCACCGTTCACGCTGTATCTCATGGCTGTGGTGAGCTGCTTCTTCGTCTTGCCATCCGCTCCGAGCTGCAGCATCCCTAGGACAGACGCAATCCCATGCGGGGAAATGACGATGTTGTCATGAGGTTGTGACTTGACAATCTGATTGAAAACTTGGATTCCCATGTTGGAGCCTAGCTCCTCAAGAGACAGAGGGTTGAACTGGGAGCAGACGGATGGCAACGTCACGGAGGCCAACAGGAAGAAGGGAAAATGCCAACCCATGGCTCCTTTTGGCAAAGACATCCTAAAAAAAATCAGATAAAATATATATAAATATAAAATAAGTACAGATTTTGGTTGGGTTAGTCTGTGCTGAACTAGATGTGACAGTGTACGTGGTACAGCTTGAAGACAGAACAATACAGATTAAATGGATTTTCAACACATGCCTTAGGATGATGGGCAGAGAGAGAAAGCAAACTGACATGTGCTGTGTCCTTACTCGGAGCCGCCGAGCATGAACCTAACACATCACCACATTTCACTCCGTGCACTGTGGGCCTCCTGCACTTTGCAGGTGCTGAGTGCAGAGCTGTGAAGAAGATGAGCACAAGACTCCCGTCCTGCAGTTTCTATTTTAGAGGGGAGACAGAAAATAAACGAACAAGCAATAAATTATACAGAAAGGGATAAAGGTCAGGATTATTTAAAAAAGATTTGAGCAAAAGAAGGGTAAGAGGAGGGAGACTTTGGAGGAGGAAGTCAGGGGCAGCGGGAGCACAGGTGACACTATCTGAATGGTGAGAAAGGGCTGGCCACACCTGGACGTGGAAAGGGTGTGTGCCCGGCAGGGGACAGATCAAAGGCACTGAGAAGGGAAGAGATGTGCTATGTTAGACCCAGTGTACAGCAAAGCGGAGGATTTTTTTTATGCTGTGGTTCACAAGAAACCACTGGAGGGTTTAATTATTTTTTATGTTATGTTACTTATTTTAAAGGCAGAGAGAAAAAAAAGAGATGGACTGATGAATTTATCATGCAGCGGTTCACCATCCAACTTCCCGCAACAACCAAGGCTGGCTGAGACCAAAGTCAGAAGTCAGGACTTCCATCCAAGTCTCTCACATGGATAGCATGGACCCAACTCCTCGCGCCACCCCCTGCTACCTCTCAGGGCATACAACTGCAGGCAGCTGGGATCTGCAGCACAGCCAGTCCCTAAACAGAGATACGTGAAGTGGGTGAACCAAGCAGCATCGCAGCCATGGTACTGAACATCCACTCCCACCAAAGGATTTCAAACAAGGAAGCTAATTTCTCAGGTTGTTATCATGATGTTAGAACCATGTGTATTTCATTCCTTTCTTATAAGAGTATCACTTTTCAATAAAATACCTGCTTACTTAAAATAAAACTAAATGAAAGTTTTATAGTAGGACGAAGATTAATCAACCTTGCGGGTGACACTGCTATGTGGATCTTCTCCATTACAATTGGTTTTGAGTAAGTTTCCTTTCAATGACTACCTCTTAACAAGAGCTTTCTTTGGCTATGACAAGTAAAAGCTGTGTACATATATTTATGAATAAGCCAATACTTTTATTAAATAATAATCAAACAGTGGAAGATAGTAAAACAAAAGCTTAATTGGTGATGGTAAAACAAAGGCAAAAGCTGGAGGTTCCGCTAAGTACCAGACTTGCATGGAGCAAATGTCTTTCCTTATCACACACGTGACAAGGGGTAGCTGGGAGTGCTGAAGACAGAGGTGGCCAGCAGAACAATGTTCCAGGGAGAAGAACAGTCCAGTGCTGCCCTAACTGGTGCCTCGTGTCTCCCTGCCTTCCTTCCTCTACACTTTGTGCACTTCCACCGTGGGTCTCAGCAGACGTTCAAAAATTACTATGGGACTAAACCCTAGGGCTACTTTCTGTTTCTAAGTACTTTCTATTTTAACTGATTATTTTTCACGGCAGCAAAATTAGTCTATTGAGTGTGGCTAAGAAAATGCTTGTCTTCAGTCCTGAGCCTTGCTGTCAGTGCCAAACCCTCTCCAAGGAAATTGCCAAACTGGGTTGTGCGACAACTATCTACAGAAACAGAATCCCCTGCCTGGCCCCTCGACACGCAATGAACTTCAAAGGCCAGCAGATGTTGCAGTTTTCTTCCAGACTGTGAAAGCAACACCTTCTTAAAAATGCAGGACACTCAGTGTTTCTCCAGGGCTTAATTGTAAAATAATTGTGAAATGCAGCCTGTCTGAATGCAAAACATGTAAGTGACCTACATCCACACGCCCAGTTGGGCCTTGACTATGGACAGCACGGCCTACTTTGACTTTGGCACTTCAGAGAGGTTCTAATACCGTGACAATCCCCGAGTTTCCTGGAGCCTGCTGGTCACTTGGGAGGTTCCAAATCCTCTAGGGAAGCCTTACCCATTTCACCCCACAGTCAGGATGAATATTCACCCCTTTTCCTCTTCTTTTTTCAAGAAATACGTTCTACTTGTAAAACTTCATCTATCTCGTCAACTCAGTCACTGACTCTCATATTATGATCTATTCTGGTCTCTCTTTTCAGCATGCCACAACCTACCCTTCCCACAAGAAATATTCCTGGGTTAGGGAATATTTAACTAAGCAGTTGGAGCTGTACACCAAAAAGGCATACCAGACACCACACTGGTGTTACTTCTAGTAGCCTTTGGCGGATCCACCCCAGTTCTACACATAAACACTGTCAAACAGGGAGAAAGGACCTGGGAGAAATCTAGGCGTGCCAAAGTCCTCAAGTCAGCAACAGACTCCCAAATAAACAGCTGTCTTATTTAGTTGAAAAAAATTTTTTTAGTTGTCAATTTTTCTAAAAGAATAGCTTCATTATGATGCAGGGGAAGCCTGCCATGAATGTTCCTCTTAGTTTCTTTTCTTGGGAAGTTTTTCAGCGACGGCTATGCAGTGTCACAACAGTGCGCTGGGACAGTGTGGGGCTGTGCAGGAGCTGGAATCAGAGCTGCCTTTGATAGGTGTTCTGGCCAGAATTCCTGCTTGGCCTCAGCCTCTTTGCCAGATGCTCAGCTGTCTGGCTTGCACATGTACCTAAGCTTTCTCTTCTCTGCAGAGTTAAGTAGCCAGGAGAGTGGGTGTTGTTCCATGCATTACTTTAGATGTGTCAAACTCCAAATGGTGAAACACACGCATGTCTAAATAGGCAGCTCTTTGCATGAAATAACTGCTGGGAGCTCTCAATCTCTGAAATGCTCAATCTCTAGAACAAGGAGATTCTGATAATGGGAAGAATACAGTAAATGTCTATTCTCATTTTGAAGAGGAATGATACTTAAAACATTCATAAAAGAGTATTGTCCAACCGTACTGCACAGCACCAGTATGGAGGATGTTCAGAAATCTGTTCCCCTATTATTTGAATCTTTCCACAAATGCAAAAGGAGATTGAGTGGGCATTAGCTGGGTAGGTGCTGCCCACATCTTATATCAACATGCCTGTTTTGATTTCTGGCTTCAGCTCCTGATTTTGCTTCCTACAAAATGCAGCCCACAGGAGGCAGTGGTGACGGTTCAGGCAACAGTCTCCTGCTGTCCACACTTTGGACTCTCAGAGCCACTCCCAGCCCAGCCCCAGTTATTACGGACATTTCAGGACAGGGAGCCGGGAAATGGGAGCACTCTCTCCCTCTCTTTCATATTCAGGCTATCATTGAGGGAAATCATAAGCCTATTAACTAAGCCGTCGTCACAAGAACATCCCTCCAAATGTTGCATTTCTCTTTCTTCACGCACTTCCAAATTTTTTCTTCTTCTAAACCTTTCCACTTTCTGAAACAGGAAATGCCTCTGAAATAATTGGGTACTGATGTGTGCAGGAGATATGATTTAACACATCAAGCAGTCCAGTGTATCTGCTTGTTCCTAATGTTATTTTGGCTTGAAAAACTTGCCACTGGTGAGCTGTGGAGGACCACTATTCTGTAAATACACCAAGTCCTTTCTTACAGGGTGATGCTCTCCGGTGGCTTTTGATCTTTCCCATGCCTGGGTTGCAATTTTTTTCTTCCTTGCCCTCCACCCAGTGTCAGCCAGGGCTGTCCCACAGCTCCTGCCACAACATGTAGTAAGTGTTTCCTGATGGTCCTACATAGGGGCTTAGCCACCCTCTACTCTTGAGATCTCACAGCATTTTTCTTCTGCACTTCTCATTTGATGGTTTCCCAAGTATGTTTTCTTTCTTCCAGCTATACCAGAGGTTCAAGCAAAGCATCTGATCGCCAGTGCTCCCTCTTCTCTCTGCTGTCTCATACCCTGCTGATTGTTGTCACACTTCACCCCAGCCTTGGGACCAAACCCCTAGAGAACCAGTGCCAAACTACTCCCCAGTGGAGCCCGGGTTATCTATTCAAAGACAAAGCTTATTTTCTAACACATTCTTCTTTCTATAAAATGTAGTTTACAGGGCAGGTGGCACAGTGTGTTAATCTGCTGCATGTGATGCTGGCATCCCAGGGAAGTGTTGGTTCAATCTGATTCAGCTCCTACTAATACACCTGGGAAAATCGTGGAAAATGCTTGGGTCCCTGCCACCCAGTTAAGAGAGCTGGATGGAGCTCCAGTCTCCTGGCCTCAGTATGGTCCAGCCCAAGACACTGGTGCAACTTGGGGAGTTTGTCACTGCATGGAAGGTTATCTCCTTCTATCTGCATCACCCTTCAAAGGTCTCTGTGACTCTTTCAAATAAATAAATCTTTTTAAAACTACAGTTAATATATAACACATGAGCCAATGATACATAACATGGCATCTATCTAAATGAAAAATTGTATGTGAATAGTTTGGTAGAGATATAAAAAATACTGGAAAGACTCTTTTGGCTCCATATCTTGGTCAAGTAGTTCATGTGTCCTCTGGGAAGACCCAGGAGTATTTAGTGAAAGTACACCATTTTCTTACCTTCTGTAATAAAACATTATTTTTTTAATATATATTTTTGGGTCCTCACTTTGAATGTACTAGGATCCTATATGGGTGCCAGATCATGTCCCAGCTGCTCCACTTCCCATCCAGCTCCCTGCTTGTGGCCTGGGAAAGCAGTCGAGGATAGCTCAGAGCCTTGGGACCCTGCGCCCGTGTGGGAGCCCCAAAAGAGCTCCTGGCTCCCTGCTTCGGATTGGCACAGTACTGGCTGTTGCACTCACTTCCTCTCTGTCTCTCCTCTCTGTATATGTGATTTTACAATAAAAATAAATAAATCTTTTTAAAAAAGAGTATTTCAAAGAAAATAGTATACA